TCTTACCATTGTTGTGCAGTGTTCGAGAGGGATTGAATTTTATTAACTTAATGACAATAATAGATTTATATTTGGATTAGCTTGTCAAATATTGCTTTAGTATAGAGGAAATATTTATTGATCCGTATTATAAAAGTTTAAACATTAATTTTTCTTGCATTTATGTTTTGTGATACGAATGGTTACCTATCATATTATAAATTACATTCTTGATAGTTATATATTTCATTGTAAAGTGTATCTACCAATTTTAAGGTTGAAGTTTAAATCCCTCTGAAATTGTAACATATTAAAAAAAAATTAACTTTTCCCTTAAATTCAAAATATTTAAGTTAGTGGTAGATATGAATTTTGAGAAAAAAAAAAAACTAAATCTATCATTTTGCATAATTTAAAATAGAACATATTGTAGGGCACTTCACCTATTATCTTTAACTATTGATAAAGCAATAAACATTTAATATTAGTTTACCTCTTTTATCAAATTAAATGAAACAAATTATGCTTTATTTTTTAAAAAAAGTAATTTGTGTTTTTTTATAAATGATGAGTAATATACAAATAAAGGAGGAAATAGTTAACACATAAGTTTTACACATTATATTTAAATAAAATCTTAATTATTTATTTTTTTATTTTTAATTATTATAATTTTTTAAATAAAAATAATAATTATTTTTATTTAAAAAATTATAATAATTAAAAATAAAAAAATAAATAATTAAAATTTTATATAAATATATTATATAAAACTTGTATTTAAATAGATAGTAATAATACAAATGAGATCTACTTCCCCAAATCAGAAGTACTTCTTTTTCAAAAGAAAAACTTAGAATGGTAACAAACACAAATATGAGAAAAACCAGGGAGCTAAAGTGAAATTTGTTCTGCTAACAAAAATAATACTGGCTTTAGGCTTCAACTTAGAGCCAGACTGAGCTCGGGGACCAAATCCAGTCTCAGCAAACCCTAACCATGACCTGATCCCCAATCTCCATCAATCATCTCCCACCGTCTGATTGAAATCCATCAAGGAAAAAGGTAATAACAAAACCCATACCGCCATGCCGTCCCACGGCGATCTGGACCGCCAGATCGAGCACTTGATGCAGTGCAAGCCGCTGCCCGAAGCGGAGGTGAAGACGCTGTGCGAGCAGGCACGTGCCATCCTCGTGGAGGAGTGGAACGTGCAGCCGGTGAAGTGCCCGGTCACCGTGTGCGGCGATATTCACGGGCAGTTCCACGATCTGGTCGAGCTCTTCCGCATCGGTGGCAACGCCCCTGATACCAATTATCTCTTCATGGGCGATTACGTAGGTTCGTCTCACACGCATACTCGTATATATGTTATTGGCATTGCAATGCTTGAGCAGAAAAGATCACTTTTTTAGTGTTGGGCTTACCTGAAATGAATTAGAATTTTGGTGGGTTAGTTTCTTTGTGATTTATAGTTTATATCTCTCTTCTTCTTTTTTTCTTTTTCCTTTTTTTCCCCAATTGGGGGGAGTGATAGATGAAGATTGATGTTTGAAGATTTAGGGGTGTTGCAGATTCTGGTTACATCAGAGGCTTTGTGTGTTTATGGTATTGATTACAAAATGTGGGCGGATATAGGAGAGACTGAATCTCTATAGTAAGGGTTGTGTTTACTGTTGAGTTAAATTATATGGGTATAATTCAATTTCTATTGGTTGGACTTGGGAGCTGATAAATTTTACTTATGCAAGTGTTGTTGGGGAAAGTGAGTTAAGATAGGACTGCTATACAAGGTTAGGAGTCTAAGACAGACCTGTTGTAGTTGATCTAGTAGATTCCTGGCATGCTCATATCCAAACTAAATGAACTGAACCTATAATAATCTGGAAGACTGTAAGTTAGGACCCTAGTTAAATCCAATGACCAAGTATGTTTCTGATGAATGATGAATGGTCTACCTTTTCATGCAGATCGAGGATACTATTCGGTGGAGACTGTTACTCTTTTAGTTGCTCTAAAAGTTCGTTATAGAGATAGAATTACTATATTAAGGGGAAATCATGAAAGTCGTCAGATAACTCAAGTGTAAGAAATTCTTGCTTTTGACTTCTATTCATTCAGAATTTTAGGTTGCACTTATCATTTGGCCATTTTTCTGCATCCTAAATGCCCAAAGCACTCTTGCATTTTCTTTGAACATGCTTAGATGTTTGTAAGGAGTATTCTGTGAACTGCGTGTCTATCATAGGAGAAAACTAAGTTGATAAGTTAGCTAGTCTTCTGTTTATGATGTGATAGAAGTTTTAATAGCATGACTAACTGCCAGCTTAAGTTATTTTGTGCATCATATCTTGAGAACCATAATATCCTCATATGTAGGTTCATACTTCATTGTTATTTATTCATTTTGCCATATCAGTTCATACTTCATAGTTATTTATTCGTTTTGCCTTATCAGTCTCTATTCATGTCGATAGCCCAATGCTTCTTCTTTTCAGGTATGGTTTTTATGATGAATGCCTAAGAAAATATGGAAATGCTAATGTCTGGAAGTATTTCACTGACCTCTTTGATTATTTGCCCCTTACTGCCCTAATTGAGAGTCAGGTTTGTGTTCTGTCACATAGCCTTATCCTGATTATCCCTGAAACCCTCAGCTAATACATATTTATTTACCTTTTAGATATTCTGCCTGCATGGTGGACTCTCTCCATCTTTGGATACATTAGATAACATCCGTGCTCTGGAACGTATTCAAGAGGTAGAGTTTCAGTTGTCTAATATTCTGGGTGTTTGAAGATTTTATCCTCTAAGCATATAAATTATCAAATACCCATTGCACTCTAAATAAACAGGAAACACTTTAGAAGCTTCAACATTGTAATAAATTATTTGTTAATTTTGCTGTGTAGAATATTATTAGAAGATAGATCTCAACTACATACTTGTGCAAGTTCTTCTCCTAATGATTTGATTAGTTTGTTGCTGCTAGAAGGTTTCCTTTTAACCTCTTACCTAAACTGAAGTCTGAAACCATGATTTTTTAAAGTCTCCAATTCATTGAGTCAACCTACATGGGGTGGGATTGATTTATATATTATATCTTATTGGGCCATATTTGGTCATATAAACTGCATTATTGTTATTTGCATTAGATGTTAGCTTTAGTAAGAGACTAGTACTCTTAGGGTGCTTCTACATTTTGCTTCTTGGTGTTGTCAACATGAAACACTCCAATACTTTATATTGCTGTTTATATGATGAAGTAATAGAAGAAGCTTATACTTATCAACATGGCATTTCTAATAACTGCTTTGCCATTTGTTGTGGAAGTAGGTTCCTCATGAGGGCCCAATGTGTGATCTCTTATGGTCCGATCCTGATGATCGATGTGGGTGGGGAATATCTCCTCGAGGAGCAGGTTACACCTTTGGACAAGATATTTCTGCACAGTTCAATCACACTAATGGGCTCACCCTGATTTCTAGAGCTCACCAGCTTGTTATGGAAGGATTTAATTGGTGCCAGGTTTGTTGATTTCTCATTGAAACAGTTCTGATTTGAACTAATGATTCCCACAGCTTTATCATTTATATTATTCGCTATAATACATTATAGGAAAAGAATGTTGTGACGGTGTTTAGTGCACCTAACTACTGCTATCGTTGTGGAAATATGGCTGCAATACTTGAGATTGGGGAGAATATGGAGCAAAATTTTCTTCAGTTTGACCCAGCTCCTCGTCAGATTGAACCTGACACCACACGAAGAACCCCTGATTATTTTTTGTGATTCTGAGAACTTACCCCCTATTTCCAAAATTTTCTTTTCTCCAGTTGTGTTTTTGTAGATTTGTCTTACAAATCGAGGAGTTTTGGGTTCTAGTTGAGGGAGTGGAGAGACAGAAGAAACCATTCTCATTCTCATTCTCATTCTCATTCTTTTGGATGTTCTTGTGTTGCACTCATATGAGCTTATAGGATTAATTTATAGAAGGAATTTGTTTCATATTCTAGGAAGAATAGCAATAACAAGGGATTTTTCTGCCTATGAATCTAAACCCTCTGGGGTAACTTCTTTACCACGCTTTGCTATTTCTTCTGCATGTCAATTTCAAATGATGACAATTGTAGCAATTTCTCTAGTCTTCAATTTTGATCAAGTGAATTATGATCAAATTTATTATACTGTTTCACTATCTAAACTTCTAGCTTGACAAAGTTCCACGGATTCTTGCACCTATTAAAACTGTTTACGGCTGAATGGCATTCCACTCGACCAATCCCTATCAGGTTACTCCCAAAGATGCTAAGACATTTTCACTTGTGGAAGACCGGATCATATTCATCAATCATTCCCGAGAAACAACAAACACATTGATTTGATCCAAATCATGAGGGGGGAAAAGAGAGAAACAAGTTTTGTTCATAATGCCCAATATTCTGAAATCGTGGATTGTTCTAAAAAGTGAACATTTGCTGCAGATGGTTGTCATAAAAAACAGCTCTCCTAGAACCCCTAATCCAATACGTCGAGCTCGAGCACAACAACTACTTGTTCTTTCAATGTCCTCGCATTTCCCTAGAACTAGTTGCCTCTGACTTTCCAACAGTCAATTTCTTTGCAAGCTTGATAAATGCTGGTTGCTGCAAGTTTGCCTGCATACACATCAGTCAAAAAAAAAAAAAAAAAAAC